CTAAAGCACGCTAAAGAGAAAGAGATAAAGAAATATATACACTGGTGTCTAAAAGTCTGAGACCACCTTAAAAATATTACAGTTAAAATCCCAGTTAATCTAGATAATAAACAGAACAGTTTTAGGACTTTAAAAAATAATTTTGACATAAAATAAAAAAGACATTCCTTTAAAAACAAAATGTATTATAGTAATTTCCCCCTCTATTTCTAGGTCACATTTCTAGGTCACTAATTAAGCTAATTTAAAGCATTGTTTATTTCAACACCTTTGTACAAAAGGATACTCCTACTTCCATTGAAACAGGTTGGTCTTTGAAAAACTGTCAATTCATGCAATTGTATTAATGTTTGTTGTGTTAATATTATGTAATGAAACATATTTATTAAATAAAGTAAGATTAGAAAAATACAAAATAGAAAAACACTTTCACTTCTCAGACATTTGAACCCCACTGTACACAAACATCTGTCAGACATTTGAAAACTCCACGAACAGAAAAAAAAAGTGCAGGGTGAAGGCTGAATTGTTTCCCAATTCATATTTGCTAGAAAGCTAGTATGACAAATCTCTCGAAAGAACAATAACAAGGTTGTTCTGTCCAGCAATAAAAGGCTAATGTCACAAACACACACACATTTTAAATCATATTTCACAATATTTGAGAGCACAAACTAGTAAAACTTGTACACACACACCATGACCATGAAGAGTACCTGCAGTAGGTTGCTGGAAACTTACCATATCTGCTTCCCAGTCTTCATTTGTGTTTGTAGAGCTTTCCTCTGTCCAGTCCTCAGTCTATGGTGGAGATAACAATCAAACTTCATAGATGGTCACTTTTGTGAAATGTGTCATTAGGAGGTTCTTCATACCTGTACGGTTTGGCTCTGTGCTTCATTGGTGGGTGTAAAAGTGCTGTAATGTTGCTCTTCATACTGGTTGAATACTGTTGGTAAGCTGCTCTCAGTGGACCAGGGCCCAGCTGATGAGCTCCATAGTGAAGGATCCGGCGGAATCACTGCAGAAACGGGGTCCCTGCCAAGAGAACAGGGACAACCGTGGTGCTGAACCATTACAAATAGAAACACTTTTACAATCCACTTTAAGCTGTTTTGTACTTACTGCAGTAAGTCTTCATCTAAAGCCGAACTCCACTCGGTGTGTATTTCACTTTCCATTTACAGGCAAACTCAGCGACAAAAGACTCTGGATCTAAAAAAAAAAAAAACAATATTCACTTTAAAACGTTAGCGTAAGTATTTTGATTAACTTAATTTATACCTGACAACAGACTGATTTTAAATGACGATGGTTATATTTCCAGTAAAATGTGAGCGCCAAAAGCAGTTAGCGAAAAAGCACATAAATTAAACCGAAACTCACACTAAACATTAAAATAGCTGGTCTTGATGGTCAAATAAGTAATAGTATACGCAGAGTATATGTAATTAAATAAATTAAGAGAATAATGATCTTTATTTTTAAAAGGCAAAGACAACTGGCGCAACTTTCATGACATCATCTAAACCTGTTTTACTTCCGGTGTCACAATATATCCAGTTCCTGAAATATTTGGTTCCAAAATCAGTTCCTGTAATATTTTGGGTGGACTAGACGTATGGTATACTTGGAGACTATCCCCAAACAGGGTTATATGGAAAGATTTAAATGTTGCTTTGCAACAAAAATATGTGAAAAATAAAATGTGCATTTACTTGTGTGACTAATGATAACTCGTCATCCAGTAGCCTATAATATGAGAAAACAGGAAAATTATGATGGGGCAGTGGAGGCTGGAAACATGGCTATTATTATAACATAATCAAAAAATTAAGGAAGAGACAGAATATTTCCCACCAGGCTAGCTTATATACTTTTTATTAAGCCACAGATACATTTGTAGAGGTTTATTTCAAGCACTTTGCGATTTGAGAAGGGTAGGCTACACTATTTTCAGTTCCATATTAATTAATTAATTTTAATTCATTTGTTACAGTTATCTCAAGGACACGCATAGAGCAATATAATTTTTTTAAGTGCCACCAATGTTCTCACGAGTGCCACCCAGTGGAACCAAATATTTCAAGAACAGATTGTAACACTGGGACGTCACGTGATGTTGCAGCATTTTGGAGTTGTGACCTGTGATGTGACCATTTCCTTTTTTTCTCTCTCTCTCTTTTTTGCAAAAACCAATTGAGTTTATTTAGATTTTTTTTTTCCAGAAATACATCCTAATCCAAGCATTTTTATGCTGTCAAAATCAGTTGTCACCCGGGGTGGATCTAGAAAATCATTAAGCAAGAAAGCATTCAATCATCTATTCTTAATCTATCATCTACTACATCTATACTAATTAAAAACAAAATACAGCCACAAGCAGCAATCATCGGGGTCCAGGCACCACTGGCCCATGTAAATGATTAGCGATCTGATTGAAATACCTGATGTGGTTTTATTCAAATTGGAAAAGTCCATCTTGAATATTCACTGAAAGTTAAAGTTTGATGAAACGGGCAACAGCAACACATAGGAGTCAAAAAGGGCAAATCACTCCGTCTACTGTCTCCATCCAAGCGTTTTAGCCAGCTGAAAACGCCTAGCTGTAGCTGGCACTTGAGAGTGTTTTGGCAGCGTAGCGTTTTTTTTTCAGTTGAGGCGCTTTGCTTGATACGGAATATCCGCCGAAGTGTTAATAATATCTAATTTCACATAAAGTTTGTTCCTGTGTTGTTTCTAAATGTCAATACAATGTAAAGTATTTGCTCTGGCTCTTGTTATATGATTTTGATTGATTATTTAAATTGAGATGAATCGCATGTCAAATCACTGGACAATTGGATGATTGGATGACAATTCAAAAATGAATGTGAAGATATTATTTACAGATCAAAAAAAATTTTATCGGCATTTATCTTAAGGTCCTTTTCATTTTTGTCATATTTCTATAATATGCTTAGCCTAACCTTATTTTTATACTTGCAGTTTAAGTGTTTCTTTTATTAATCATACCACAAAAATTAAGTGTATTTATAGAAATTTTATAATATTATTTTGAAAAAGATAAATAAAAAAAATTATCTTCATTTAAATGGACAGCAATTTATTTAATTATGTCTGGCAACTTGGAAAATTTGTTTTATTGGAGTCTATAAAATTTTAATAAAAATAATGATCTATAAGCATTTCACAGATTTCTATAGGCTACACTAAATATATAAAAGGATACTGTCAGTCAGAGTCGATCAGCCCTATACGCACACTACGCAAGTTGCGTAGGGCCCCGCAAATTACTCAAGGCCCCGTCTCCCCCCTCGTGTCAAAGCGCGTCAATCAAAGTTTACAACATTGATGAGATAATTGAGTGGAACTATCCTTCTGGTCACGAAAAGAGAGAAAAAAACACCATGAGAGTGAATTGCGGGAACAGCAATCAGGTAGACGTGTGTTCTCTCCTGGTTGATGTCAGCAAAGAACTGGATAAGGATAAACTTGAAATGTATGAAGGTAATATGATGCCATAAAGAATCGCATGCGCAGTGTAAGATTTGTGAAAGTGTACATAAGATTGCAAGCGTAAATGAAATTTGCATGCGCAAGAGAAGATTTGTAAAGGTGTAAATCGCCTTTTAAGTGTAAGAAAAAATATTTGCAGCATTTTACTGTTATTCGTTAGTGTAATGCATGTATTGTGAAATCTGTATTCTTCTGACTTCCATTTTTCCGCACGTACACTTTTGCCACGTTTTTTTCACACAAATACAGCCAAAACTGCAAGCCTGCATGTGAACAGCAATTTGCAAGAAAATTCAAATATTTGGGACGAATCGAATACTGCCCCCAGGAACGAGATGGGTTGGCTGGGGGACAGCAAGCTTTTGTTGATCCTGAACCCCAGACTTTCCAAGTTGCTGAAGAGCAGAGATCTGTGAGCACATAGTTCCTCCTTCGATTGGGCTAAACCAATCATCAAGGTAATTCAGGATACTCCCATCCGTCTCAGGGGAGAGAGGGCCGCATCCATGCATTTTTGCGCCTTAAAGGTTAATAGTAAACTAACTTGGGCTGCTGCATGTCCTTGGAGGAGGCTCAAACCTAGGCTCGGCTTGAGCTCCGAGTTAAAATCCCCTATGGAATTGCGCATAAGAGGATAGAGATAATTTACTGGAGGAGATGAGGAGGAGGAGGGCTGCTGGAAGAATTTGTCAATGGGATGACGTGGGGTCTGCTGCTTATAGTACAGTCGTAATAATGATTTACAGGACTGAATGTTTAGGCTCCTCCCAAACCTACATTTGGAACTTAATTTTATTAATAGAAAACCTTCTATGAAGGAACATGCATATCTCCAGAACATTGCGTTTATGATTATTACTGTCCATTATTAGCTTTTGCATTTTGTACCATTTTATGCATGCTTGATGGTAGATCCAGTTAATGCAACCTCCTCTACCACGATTGGTATCTACAAATGTTAATTTTGATGATCTAAATGATCGTGTATATTATATGTTGATACCAATGCAACATATTCGTATTACAAGAATCTTTAATAGTTTCTGCATCAACACCCAATCCAGTTACATATGCAAATTGCCATACTGAAGACAAAGAGTTGTAAACTTTCCCTCCAAAAGCACAGTGAAATCAGAAGCACTGTGATCTGCAGATATTTAATTGCTGTCTGTGAACTGAGCTCTTCTGCACAATAAGTAAATACAAGTAAGCAAGATTGTTTTTTGCTTTCCCTTCTGCTTTATTTGTTTTTGTTTTTTATGGTCATCAAGTTATAGTTATAAATCTTCCCACTGCTTCCTTTTTCTGTCTAGTCTGAGACTTAAACTGCACTGCTGCAATAAATCCAAGAACACCATCATCAAGGGATGTGTGGAGAAATGTGGTATGACTTTGGACAGAAAAGGAAGTTCAGAAGAGAAAAGAAAACAGCAGCACAGAGAAATGTTTGCACGCAAGGTTAGTCAACGTCAGTGTTTAGCAGTCTCAGAGGGTGTGATATATGATTCTTGTTACTGTGCCTATGTGTCATTACTTAAGTGTTTGAGAGTAATGGAGCTGCAGCAGCGTTTTTCTGTGTGTATAAATGAATATGAAGAGAGAGACACAGAAAACAGGGAGACACAGAAAAATGATGCTGTTAAAACAGAAGACATTTATCAATCTCTTCAGTACCCACCTGCAGACCAGGGAACTATTAATACAACACTGTTCTCAGGTAAGACAACAGAGGATGGGTGAATGGAATTTATGGAGGGATGGAATTCAAGCAAAATGTTCACAATCAGTGTTTCTGTATTAATCACTATTAATCTCTACAGAGTTTTCTGAAAGGAAGTTTGTGTTTTTACTGTTTGCTGTGAACATACTTATCTCAACCATCATCCTTACTATTGTGGGCCTAAATTGTAAGTTTCATGACACAGCATTTGAAAAGTATTGAGGTTCTAATTGAGAAAAACAAAGTTTTGTGACAATAATGGTTTAAATGTAGTTTGACAAAATATTTAAGAATAACATGCTTTTCCACCCCTTAGACTCTCACAACAAAGAAACACTACCAATAAAAGGACAAAAAGGTTAGTTTAATTTTTTTTATTAACTGATGAGAAGGAACTAATTTTCAGCATGCATGTGTGAAACATCTGAACTGAAGGATAAACTGTTTCACACATTGTCGTTGTGGGTTTTGTGTCATGTGATTCCCTGGTTGTCAGGTGATCCTGCCATGTGTCTTGTCATTTGTTAATCGTCTGATCATTGTTCGCAGGTGTTCCTTGTCTGGTAATTAGTCTGTGTATTTAAGCTTTGCCCTGTGTCTGTGTCTAGTATTTAATGTTTCTTGAAGGTTCTTGTTTTGAATTCCATGCCACGTCATGTTTTTGTAATCTTGTCTTGTTCATTAAAGATGCATTTGGGTTCACTTCAACTTGCCTCCAGGATTTAATCGTAACAGTTACATTTATGTGTCTAAATGTAGTCATGGTGAAATGAAGCTTTGTGAAGCAATGAGGCTTTCCCTATGGCGTTATTCCCCTGTCAAATGTCGAGAGCGCATTATTGTAGCGCGAAATTACATTATTATAATGCGCGAGCGTGAATCTCTCTGCTCCCGCGCGGAATATGATGTGCCGAGCGTGAATCTCTCTGCTCGCTCTCAGATACACTTCTCTTGTAAGAATTCTCTCTCTGGGCTGAGTGGGCTCGCTCAGAGAATATGCCTGCACTTAAAACGTGTTCAGTGCAATCGCGAACCTCTCCTCTTCCCCAGCTAACAATTTTAGGTTATAAGAACGTTTTCATAACGTTCCCATTAAGTTATAAAAACGTTATTTCTGAATGTTCTAGGGAATTTCAAAAAGTTCAGTTTTTTAGACGTTGTATTAACGTTATTTCTTGGTTATAAGAACATTCAATTCTCCCGTTATGTAAACGTTGTATTAATGTTATTTCCTGGTTATAATAACGTTAGAACGTTAAATTCTCCCTTTATATAAACGTTGTATTAACGTTCTTGCTTGGTTATAAGAACGTTATTCAAACGTTCAATTCTCCCATTATATAAACGTTCTCTTAATGTTTGTCTAAGATAATGAAAAACGTTTCATTCAATAAAAAAACATTAAGAAAGGTTTTAATAATTATTAAAACCTTTCTTAATGTGTTTTATATAACAAGGTAGCCTATATAATAGGCCTAGCCTATATGAAGAACCTAAAACAAGAACTTTCAGATTTTAAAATTAAGATAATTTTTTTTAAAAAGACCCATGAATCATGTCTATAATATGTGTAATGTAGTCCACTGAAGTCGAGTTGAATTGAACCCAAGTAGGCCTAGTTTATTCCAATAAACCGATTTGGGTTGAAGTGACCATATGAAATTAACATGAACATAAACTTGGACTAAACTCACCAACAATGGTACAGGGAACAAAGCTAGACAAGAGACAATGAGAAGACAAGGACAAGGATTATGACCAAAAACAACCAATGACATTCACAAGTTAAAGTTCATTTAATTTATACAGCTCATTTTTACAACAGCCACTGGCTGGCCAAAGTGCTTTACAGAACAGCAGAAAAAAAGGGGAAAAAAACCCTACATAACATATGGAATAGCAATTTCTGATTGGTTGTTGCCGTTTTGACAGCGTTTATGCCAAGAGCAAAGAGACAGAAATCGAAGAGAAGAGTAGTTAGGCATTCGCGAATGCACGGGACACAGTCTAAGCACATACACGCTTACTTTAAGCGAAGAGGAGAGATTCGCGATTGCACTGAACACGTTTTAAGTGCAGGCATATTCTCTGAGCGAGCCCAGAGAAAATTCTTACAAGAGCAGCGTGTATCTGAGAGCGCACGCCAATAATGCGCTCTCGACATTTGACAGGGGAATAACGCCATATTTCCCCTCAAGTGAAGTGTCGCCTATCGTAAATTGGTTCATTACTCGAAGCTTTTCAACACGGTGCACACTACATCTTGTGGTCAAAAGGTGGAAAAGCTACCTTTCCCAATTTTTTTATTTATTGTCTTATGGGGAGTTGTGTAATTGAAGAAATTAAAGATTTTTTACTAAGGAACAGGACTTGTTCAACAGTGTGAGGGCTAAGTCTATTTCTTTTTTTATTTACTACTTCCCCTGCGTTTGAGAATATTCTCTCACATGGGACTTGATACGACCTGAAAATGCTGCCAGACTTCCGAACGGCCTCTTTTCGCTGACTATAACGAAGCGCATGACACTCGAAACCTGATACAAGCTTCGAGTTCGAAGCATCGGTGCCGAACGTCACATCACTATCTAAATGTTCACACATTTGATTGTTCTTAATTTTGGTTGTGTTGTTCATCTTATGAGCTACAACTGAAAACTGAACTGTTAAAATCGCTCTTGTGTGGTTTTGCTCTAAAAATGTCCTGGCATGGCAACGAATATTAATACAAAACAATTTCTGTCAACTATACAGATACGTAATACTGAATGTTCTTTTTTTATCTTTCAGAAGTGTGGCTTCTCTATGACAATGTGTTTTATTTGTTCTGGAGTGACAACGGTGACTGCTACGCTGCTGAGAGCTTCTGCTCTAAGAGGAATGCCAGCCTTGCCATGTTATCTGTGTATAACAAGGTGCAGCAACTCATCCACTTCTCTCTCTTTTTCTGCATAAGTAGTACACTATTATTTTAATTTAGCTGATTTAGGAGAAGAATTAGAAACTGATGCAAAAACAGAATGGAAAACAATGCATTAACAAACAATACCAGTAGCAGTGGAATAAAAACACAATATTTAACAATGCCTGTAACATAAAATGTTTTAATAAATGTTTAAAAACAAAATCCAACATGAAATAATAAAGTGAACACTACTGTACATGAGAGTAAACAGAATTAAAACCGTAATTATATTATTATATTTAGATGATGTCTGATTCTGAGACTGGGTTGCACATTTGACTGGTTCATAGCCTACTGAATCCATCATTTTACCTCATAAATTGCATTATTCAAGTTAATATAGCTGAGTAGGTGTAGCAGAGAGGGTCTGAGAGTGGCTTAAAGTATTCTATATTACTAAATTTAAATGAATTAAAAGTGAACTTTGTTGCACATGTTCTTGAATGTTGTCTGTGTACATGGGCAGGTCTGGTTGATGTCTAGAACCAATGGAAAACAATTTCTGGTGTCAAAAGCCTCATTAGACGGATCTGGAGACAGTGCTTCTTCATTTGGGGTAATGCACTTTTGTTTTAATTTTTTAATTAATTAAAATTTTAATTATAGGCCTACTATTTTTAATTTAATTATTTTAATATGAATTATATGTGTTTAAATTTATATTCTGTGAACATAATTGTGATACATTTCCATAAAAATATATTTCTGACTATGTTCTGGTTGTGCCTCAGGATAATGCTGATGATGAGTGTGGCATCATGACCTCTGATGTTGATACGGATCATGGAGAAGGATTTGTGTGTGAGAGAGTAGGGAACTCACTTCTTCACTAAAGATGGCCTGAGAGCTGAAACGTTTGTGCTTTTCCGCTTGTCTAAAATAAAACAACAGAAAAACACTGAATTCTGAGTGCGAATAGTTTCATTTTAGTGAGGGAACCCATATTCAGAGCTAATTTGCAGACTTCGAATTTTCATGAATTTGATTTGAGATTCGCATCATCATATTCATCCGTACTTCTACCCCTACCCCTTTTCTGGTGATCCTTGTCTTCTCGAGCAGCACTTGTCCTCGTAACTCCATGAATTTTGAATTTAAGCTGAGCAAATATGCATGTGTAGGCTACTTGTCTTGATCTATCTTGTTTTTAAAATAATATTTTCTACATTGTTTATATTATGAATTTTTACTTACAATGAACTTTTCATATTGTTTCTTGCTGAATTTTGCTATCCTTGAATGTATAATGTTTAATGCTTTATTAATTTGTGCAAGGCGAAACTCTTAAGAATAGGCTCACTGTATTGTCTTCAGAAGTTAGAGATAAGAGGTTGTCTCTCTTCAAGGCTTTCAATTACTGTTATTTGTTTTTTGGCAAATGGAATTAGGTAGATCTTTGTCTATGAGTAAAGTTATTCAATAAATTCAGTTAATTTCTTATGATCACTTCACTTGGTTTATTGTATCTATCTCCTATCCTGCTTCTGCCCCAAGGCTGGCAAAAGAGTTAAGGTGATAATACACCGGGCAACTTTTTGAGCAATGTTGATGGGCAATGTTGCCGTCAAAGGGCATCCGGATGAGACACAGGGCCCACGACCCATCTAAATTATCCAGATATAAAAGTATTGCCCATATTCAATGGGAAAGTCTCCAAGCAACAATCGCTCGGCAAGATTGCCCAGCAACATTGCTCAAAAAGTTGCCCTGTGTATCATCACCTTTAGGCTATCTTTATAGGCTAATTCCTCAAGGTAGGCCTACATTTAGACGGATTTAAACTAGGCTTAATGCTGGGGCCACACCACAAGATATTTGGGCCGATTTCTCCCCTTCCGACAATCCTAAATGAAGTCCCGATTAGCTTGATGGTTCTATAGATTATTTTATCAGATTTCCCTGTGGTGTGAGGTGTGTTAACAGTGACCGAACCTGCTCGCAAGAACGTCGGAGCCGCCCTGATCTCGAATCGTAAATATTCAACATGTTGAATATTTCCGATCAGAAATCCTGATGTGTGGGGGGAACCCCCAGGACAAACCTATGGGACAAACGCGCACTAGGCTACTCTTTTGATTGTCAGGTGGAACGAAACGATATCCAATCAGAAAGCGGGTTGACATAAGAAAGCACAAACGCGGTCATGGCGCAGCACAGAGTAAAATGCTTCTTCTACTGTCTATGGTAAAATGGTGATATCAGAGAAGGAGGATCAGCTTGTCTATTTGTGGAAATGTTTTGTCAAAAACATTCCAAACACTACCATAGCAATTTCTTCCTGCCTATCGTCCGCAATGTTTATTCTGAAGTCTCGAGAGATTTTGCGAGATTTCCCGTTTACACAGTCGGAACTCTGGATGAAAATGTGTTTATGTTTGTCTTCTACACCCAGGGGCGTAGAATTTAGTAGGGACGCTAGGGACGTGTCCCTACCAATATCCAGTGACACTGATGTATCCCTAGCAATAATTTCGATCAAAACTTAAAATATATTTATATATTGATGTCCCCATCCCCACCAATTTCGAAATCAAACCTATGCCACTGGGTACACCACACTATAGGAGCAAAACGGTTAAATATAGCATTATTTGTCCTCATGTTTGTAGTCTCTCACAATTTAAAAATCTTATAAGATTTTAAATTTATTTTGGTGTGGCCCCAGCATTATGAAAAAACCTGATAGAAGTCGCATGAGAGTTTTATCCTGGGGTTTAGCGCCCCCTTCCTGTAATGTTCTGAAGTGTTGAACTGTTTTAACCGTTAATTGTTGCAATTAAATAATAACAAAAGGTAAATCTAACTAGTAACACCAGCTGGTATTCTCACTTTAATTTCTAATTAAAATAATGTTATTATAGCCACAGTGTTTATGTTTTAGTGTTCTTGGATGTTCTCCATCCAAGACGAGCACGTTATCTGAGGTGATCAAAAGAATCAAACAGCGCAACAGAGCAGACTATTAATCAGGTATAATACATACAAAATCTTTTTGTTGTTGTTGTTGTTTGTTTCAGTTCACTATAACGTTAACTATTGTTCTTTCAAAAGAAGTGGCGTATGCAGCTATTAAAACAAGCTTGCAGCGCTACCGTTTCAGCATTTTCTAATGTAGCCTAACTAACTTAGGGAAACTAAGTTTCACTTACCAGATTTAAGTATCAGCAGCAAGACATTGTTCATGAGTTTGTGTTAGCTTATTCCATTTCTAATCGATAGTCTTTGCTAGGGATGGAATCAGGAGATTCTCTGTCACGGTGGCTGAACTCTGATATTTTCATCGTGTTTGTGGTGTTGCTGTTGCTCCTATTGCTGGTCATCTTTGCTGTATGCTGGCTCATGAGACGACATCACACACAGAGACCAACAGAGTATTAAAACATACACAAACGCATATGCCTTCACACATAGCTATGTTTGTTTACTATAAACACAATATTAATCCCACTTCACCTTAGCCTACAGGTGCTCATTCCTGTTCCTGGTGATCCTGCAGAGTTCAGTTCCAGTACTGGTCCAACACATCCGTTCTTTAATTATCAAGTGTTCCTAAATATCTTAATTAGATAGTTATAGATAACTGGAGTTAAACTTCGATGGAAGGTAGATCTCCAGGAAAAGGATTGAGCGCCCCTGCCATTTATGCCAATTCTCGCTGACGTTATGATTGACCTTGCTCTCTTCTTCTTAAGGAAAATGGCTGAAATAGAGATTACTCCAGTTGATGATGCAGACTTGGGGAACTCTGCCAGATTCACCCTGAAGATTGTGACTGAGCAGACACATGCAACAGAGCTTGTGGAGATGTTAACTCGTAGAGGTTGCTCTGTTGAGGTTTCAGATCGCCATAGTAAACCCTCTGGCTCTGCTGTTAAAGATGATGACAACGATCAAGATTACACTGATGCGTTACAGAATATATAAATCATTGTGTAGTTTAGGATTTTTTTTTAATCACAGCATTTAGTTTTCTTGAATTAATTCAATTCTAAATATATAACTATGTAAACAAGTTAATTTGTTATTTTGTGTGCAACAAGAACATGGACTGAAAGAGATAACTTTTTCTATTTTTATTATTGGACACATGAGTTTACTCATGGGCTCCAGCATCCCCACAACCCTAAACAGGACAAGCGGTTTGGAGATTGGATGGATAAGTCTAAATGCTTCAAATATGCAGTATCTGTAACTTGAACATGACAAAATGAGGCTGTAAAAATGTACAATGTTACATTTTGTTGGAGGATTTAATTGGCTATCAATACAGATACACAATCAAACTAATGTATTCAATTAGATTAGGGTTCAATGGCATTGGTGAAGATCAGGAAAGTACATGAATATGAAACAATTCGTCTGTGCAGAATTTGAACTGGAATTTTGTCAGCCTTTTGTGTGTTTTTTTTGTTGTTGTTTTTTTTCTCGCTTTTCAGAGGATTGTACAGGTTTGATCTTTTCATCCTGTTTCCACAGCTTGTGTTTTCAGGACTTGTTTTCAGTGGCTTCTTCTGCTTCTGAAGAAGCATTCACTCTTTTCTGAAGATTAAGTGTAAAAACAAAAACAGTGATCTAATCTGGCTTTTTAGATATTAACCATAACAAATTAGTAAACAAACTTACTAATTAGTAACTTACTTTGCCGCTATCTACTTTTCTGGTGAGGAATAAATAAATAAAAACATGTTATCAGCATGTTAATCAAATACGCATGCAGCCACATGTAACATGCATTAATGTAGAAAATGGAGACTTTAAAGTGATTAAAGTTGTGTAATTGTAACAAAAAAAATTAAAAGGCAGGGCAGTTTGTTTCTAAAACACTTTTTTCCCAAATTTGTTTAAACTGTCTTTATATACCAATACATATCTAAAATGTAAGTATTCTGAAAAGGAGAGTATAAAAATCGAGTGTCTGTAGTCCTCTCAGGGCTGCAATAAACACAGCTACTCTTTCCATTCGGAAGGAATGCAATGATTGGCTGGGCGACTGTCACTCTCCCTCGCTGCCATGGCTACCACCCCTGCTGCTACAGGAGCTGCCCACATGCGCACACCCGGTTGACTCGCTCATTTCGAAAGAGGAGAGGCACGTACCGGCCGGAAGCTAGGAAGTCTCACAATTATGGCAGAGAAAGAGCAGTCAAAATTCCCAGTACCACCTGTACCTGCATATACAGTCAGCGCAGGCAAACAAGGGAAAAAAAGGTGATGTCACTCCATGCACTGCGCTCCTCTATGCTCGGCGCTGGTAAACGCGTCCTCCAGCTGAGCGGTCGGCATCATGCGTTCATGTGTTTTGGGGGTGTGGCTTTGGAAGGAGCCCAGAAGGGAGGGGGTGGGAGTTTCTCTGTTGGATACTTTCAAAATCCAGCAGTTTTCTGCTAGTTTCTCAAACTTACCCTGCCTTTAAGCTGAGAAAAAAAAGCAATCTTCATGTAATGCTTGCTGATGAAATGCAAACATACTTGTGATTTCAACCACTTAACTGCATCGTCATAAGCGTCATTTTTCATTCCGTTTACACTCTAGTAATCCTTTATCCTAAAAGAACAGACAGTCCTCCCTTTCCACAAATTGACTTCTGTCTGACACAATGCAGGGTCAAATGTGTGATGAAGCACCACTAAAATGGCTGGCTTATTGTCTACAGAGAGTAAGAAAGAGTAGACAACTGTCAATTATCATATAACCATTTTATATGAAGGAATAAAATGCAACCTCTTCTGTAAACCATTTCTTATGTCTCTGTGCGTGTGACATATAAGGCCAATGTCAGTTCCACTGCGTAAAACAACTGGAAAGAAAACTAAAGTAATAGCCTTGTCAAAATGTCTTTCATTTGCCTTTTTTGATTAAAGGATCAATCTTCTTTTTAATTTTTGCTCATGAATATATTGGGAACTTCACTGCAGGTGATTATCTCTGGACTACTGTTAGCAATATTTATCACTCTGTAGGGGTCACTTTTAACACAGTTAAATAAGGCAGAGTAGTGTTGCCTCCACATCTCAGCAATATTATCAACCCCAGACACCCCCTCCATCACACATGGAAGCAATGTATTGGCCCTGTTCAGGGCTCTCACCTCCTTCCAAAAGCCATTGACATCCTTAACCCTTAATTTCTCAGCCATTGAATTTGCTCTCATAGTTTGTTCATGTTTACCAATGTAACGGATGGCATATTTGAGTTTAGTGCTGGTAAGCTTTTTATACTCAAGGATCGGACCATTTCTAGGTCTGCCTGCCTACACCCATGCCTTAAATGCTACCCTAGCTTCTGCATGATGAGCCTTGACATGCCTGTTCCAGCCTGGCTTAATGTTGGTAGTTTTAACAGGTAGTATAAGGTATGGTCTACTAGCCTCATACATTGCACCCACAACACTGTCATCATACATGGCAGAGACGGGGTTTCATGATGGGAGATATCAATACAGTTCACATCCGAGCACATAATAGCCTTTTTAGGTAAACAAGTATCCCTGAGAAGGACCTCAGTTTTCATACAGTATGTCAAGAGATCTTCATTTGTGAATCTGGCCCAATCCACTTTAATATTGCAACTATCATTCACCCCCTGGATCAACTCAGGCAGACTTTCCACATCAAGCTTCATAGCACATGGCACATGGTCTGACATGGATGTCCCATATAGAATTTTTATAGATTGCAAGATTGCATGGGCATCAGCAGTGGTAATACAGTGTGGTCAAGCCATGATGTTGTGTGCCAGGCTTCACTTATATAAGTTATAGCTATCTGCAGGAAGAAGCAGTTGGCTAGACAGTATGAGGTTGTTATCCTCACAAAACGGTACTAAATGTCTTGCAAACAGAGACTGGCTGTCTGTAAGGTCTGCGTTCATATCCCCTACAACACAAACACTTGTGTACTGATTCTCCTGAATAAAGGAATTTTTAAAGGCAAGCCTATTTAAATATAAATCTTCATTCTGCGAACACTCATAAGGTGTATATACATTTAAAACCTGTCCTGTAATCTGTAATGTGTGCCTTATCTGAATTTGCCTTATATGGGCTTATTTAGATAGGGCAGACATGGAACCCATGGACAAAAGCATATAGGGCCTATATGTTATCCCCACCATGAAATGTTGACTGGTGCTGAAACTGCAGTCTGCAGGATAGGCCTACTGCTTATAATTGAACCATGCAGAGATTATAGCACTGTATTTAAGACTGTGATTCACCGCTGCTCAGTAACGCACCATCCTTGAAACATATTGCGGCATGAAGTTACACAGAAAGACTTATGAATAAATTAACGTAATGAATCAAAACTCGAAAATGATACATATTCACACAAAGTGAAATAAACCGTGAACCGCATAATATGCATGTGCAAAGCTGAGTTCAATCAGCGACATTATGCCAAAATAAGAAATGAACCCTTGTGCATCAATTAAAAAAAAGTTACACATAGGTCCATAGTGGACAAAAATGTCTGTGTCAAAAAACTTGAAGCTTGGGAGCACAGACTTAAGTTTGGTTCAATTTAAAGAAGATCCGTGGCAGATTATTGCTGAAGTAAAAAAAAGTAACCAAAAAAAGTTATATAGGTTTAAGTTTATGGAAATTAGTTTTGAACATTATTTTATATAAAATGTATATTTTATGAAACATGTTGAACTCTAAAACGGCTAGAAAAACAAAGCCATAAATCGAAACAAGTTCCAAATTTGAGGTTGATTATATCTAAAAAAAATTAGCTGTCAGTAAGATTTTGTTTGTGCATTTTCCCCACTGGATGCCAGAAAAACTCCATGGGTGCACACAGTGGTTGGATTTGTTATTTTCAGTTGAGTCTTTCTCTCTCATATATTACAAACACACACACATATTTTTTTTATTACACACACAAACCACACTCTGACATCCATACCAATACACCCACACAATTATCGTTGCATAATTTATCCAATTGGCTCTATAATATGCTGAAGCACAAAACAGGAATAAAGCGAGTATTTGCTTTATAGGCCAAACCTGAGAAAATGGGGCCATCTGGTAAAAAAAATAGTAAAGATTTACATTTTGAAGCGAAGCAACAGAATGAAAGCCTCTTAACAAAGATTGTATCATTTTATACTTATAGGATTAAAAATGCAGTTTTAATTGGTTTCAATGTGGACATTTTTGTCCAAAAGGTGCTGAGGAACTATTTTGTGGACTACCTAGTGCAAAAAAAAAAAGATTTTTTTTAAAGGAAATGGGGGTGAAATAGTAAAATTACAATAAAAATACACACCTGTGCCAAATGCAGTTAGCATTCAAAACCGCAAAGTGATAAAAAAAAATGAAAACGACAAAAATGTCCATAAGGGTTAAATAACTAGCTATAAGAAGCACCTTAAGCCTAGTTCACACTACATGATTTTAAAACGTCGGGCTGAACTGTCCGGTTCACACTACATGACTTACTCTCTGTGAAATCAGGAGTGTTCAAGTTGTTGAGCTGTTCACACCACACGACACAACGTGATTGATCCGCAACAGGAGGTAACGCACTACACGAGTTGACAACAACTCTGTCACCCAACGATTCAATCTTGTCTACAAACCACGTTTTGTCACAAAAAATCACGCGATAAAACGAACCGGAAATGACGCGAAACATCACGCGCGCTAATACCCAGCGAAGAAGACGAAGACCCATGCCTTGCTCTGATTGGCTGTAGCTCATGACATCACTGAGGTTGAGTCGGGCGACAGCTCTGGATATCTAGCATGCTAGATATTTTTCTAGGCTTAAAGCCTAGTTCACACTACAGGATTATAAGCCCGATTTAAGCCCGATTTGCAAATCGTTGAGCTCGCCGACAGGTCAGGGTGTTATCGCGTGCAAATCGCGGGAGATTAGCGGGCGATGAACGCTCGCCAATCTGTTAGTATGAAAGAGCCAACAACGCATCAAAGACGCTCGCAGACGCGTCGCCGAGCCCAGAAAAATATCTAGCATGCTAGATATCCAGAGCTGTCGCAGGACTCAAGCTCACGTGATGTCATGAGCTACAGCCAATCAGA